ATGTTGACACACCAAATACTGATTACATTTCACATACATTATGCTTGAGATGTTGACACACCAAATACTGATTACATTTCACATACATTATGCTTGAGATGTTGACACACCAAATACTTGACATCACGATACGACGAAAATTTGACATTATGAAAACCATCGCAAAAGTACGGTATATAATAATTTTATTAATGCTTTAAAATCAAACACAAATAATTAACTTGACGACTGTTAATATTTTTTGAAATACTTTATACCTAATGTTTCTTAAAGCCTCGTGAACAATAACAAAGATAGACTACGTAAGTTCAAATAACATTTTAAATACAAATTTATAAACATTCAAATTCAAGGTAAAGAATTTATAATTACGGACCCATTGAATGGCTAACAGCTACAATCGTCAGCTCCTATAGCAGCTGTAACCCCATCTGGACAACACCCATATCTGGTTCTTTTGCAACCACCAAGCAAGACAGCTGGGGCACATCCTAGACCATCTGTTCCCAAAGCAGCTGTAACGCCGTCCCGACAGCATCCGTATTTGGTTCCTGCACATCCACCAACAACCCGATAGGGAAAGGGGACATATAAAATGTGCTTCCTAGACACCAACAGATGTTAACAGGTTAAGTTCATGTAGGAAATGTTAGCAGATACATTAACCCTAACGCTGACCTATTTTAACAAAAGCCCAGAAATATTTTCCAACACTGTCTATAACATGTAAAAGGTCCAGAACTGTGTCTATACCAGGTACAACTGGTTTTTTTTTCTTGTTTTTTTTTCCTTTTTACATTGGATGTTCTTAAAGAAAAATTAAAATAAATTTTTTAAATCTCCAAATAATTCTAAATCGTATGACATGTAAAGGAATTGTCACGTGCTCCAAAAGTCCCTCTACATGCTACTACCAACAGAGTGGCCAACAAAAGGTCTCTGCAAGCATACATTTTTGTTACGCCTGAAATGTATTTTCAACACATGAACATGAGTAGCAAGGAGTATGACGTTCTGGTCAATTGATAAGGTTATATTTTGAATTAGATGAGCAAGGCGCTGACATAAAATAAATAGCATTGAGTAACATCGTGGAAGGGGTTTGTTGTCAAGGAATAGAGTAGATTCAGTAGATGTCAGGTTATGTGAGACACGCTCAGATGGTCAATGCCATTGCCAGGGCTGGACACCATTTACTATCCTGGCCAAGTAACAAGAATCTAATTGTTTTACGCTTACCAACACCAAACATTGAAGTCAAATACATTTTCTAACAATAAACGATTTCTTTTTTCAATTGTTCGTCTTGCAAACATATTTAATCCTATGTGTGTTGAAAAACCAAAAGTATTGATAAAAAGGTTTTATTTTCTTCGACAAATTAAGAACTGGTTTACCTGCTATGACGGTGTTTTCGAGTTTAGTTATAGCTATGCATTAATGAAATAATTGATGTCCTGCAATGAATCCTCTTTTAATAAGCTTAGAGGCACTGTTTGTCTTTAAAAAAATGTGTGTTTGAAGGATTAATTTTTTTTAATCTCTTAATTTTAAGAATTTTGACCAAAGTCCTTAACTTAGAGATTGACATTAATATATTTTTTTGATGATTTGTGTCTTTAAACCAATGTAAAATAAATGGACTTATTTTAACAAATTCCTCATTCCCCATTTTTTTCTTTTCTAAAAGAGCAATATATTTGCTATCGGTGACCAAATTGTAATGGGAGAATTTAAAATCAAATTACAATTTGTTTCATCAGCTCAATGTCTTCCACAAGATCCAGCTTGAATGTTTCACTTAAATAAACTGGGACTCAAATGTCAATGGCAACTGAACATCTACAGATGTCGTGATAAAAAAATGATAACATCTGTTTACAAATTCAAATCGGTTCCTTGACGGAGTGTTTGTGACAATGCCTTTATGATCTATGTACAATGAATTCAACCCCAGGAAACTCCGGGTACATCAGCTAGTTAAATATCAAAAGTGTACTCAGTTTTTAATAGTGCTTTTCGACATAAGACACAATATACTTTTTTGTTCCTACTAATACTTACACTTTAGCGCTGGGACGTCAAAAAGATGAGTTAAAGTTGCCTGAACGATTTGAAAAGTCTAGAGTGGACCGCTTATCGTGTGTGCTCAATGAATTTATCTGTAGAGCTTTTTATATGTTTCTTGTTGTTTTTGTTCGACACTACGAACTAAGGGCGTGTCTAATTGGTTGATTGGCTAATCTGAATCCAGATGTGTCACACGGGCAACTCACCAAATTATTTTCGATTCTTTTATTGACTTTTGGTAATTATCAAACGGTTATGTTAAATCGAATGTTTTTTCTGAAAAATCGAGCTGTAAAAAATATATATATATTCTTATGATTTTGTTTCCGATTCTAATCTCTCACAAACTTTTCTTTAACAAATAACAATTTAAATAAAGTATCGTTACATTTTTTAAAAAAAGTATCGTTCATAGTTTATTTTTTCAACCGCAGTAGTAAATAGTCTATCCATACAGACCTAGTTCTCACACAACATCGAATATTTATATTGGACAAATCAACATTTATTTACACGATACCTCAAACAACTCGACAACGGGCAGTCCACATAAAAATATGCATCCCTTAGGGTATTATGTGTTTAAGCGTTTAAATCTCATTTAATAAGACGCCAATGTGTTTAATAATTACTACACGATAATACTCCGTACTTTTAGCCTTGCGCTACTCAGTATTTATTATAGACATGGATCATTAGTCGTAAAGTCCCGTGAAGTAAATAACTTGTTTTTGTAGAGTAAGTTGTCATTGTAGAATATTATGTGTTTATTGTAAAATAAGTTGTTATTGTGAAATAAGTTGTTATTGCAAAGTAAATTTATTTTTGTGAAATAAGTTGCGAATGTAAAATAATTTGTTATTGTAAAATGAGTTGTTGTTGAGATATAGGTTGTTAATGTAAAATAATTTCTTATTGTAAAATGAGTTGTTGTTGGGATAAAAGTTGTTAATATAAAGCTTTGGAAAAAGACTGTCAAAATCCTATTCAAAATTTTATTTTTCATAATATTTTTAATGATGTTATGTCGCTGAATATCACTGAATGTTAAGTGGAAACTTGACACAGCTGAAAATCTAGCGTCTCAAATGTTCCAATGTTTCTTAACGTTTAAGCTTTGGGCACGTATCCTGCTTTCGCCCATAAATTTAGCCAATATTTCAGATCAGTATTAAAAACAAACCAGAAGGACCAGTACAGTCAACGTGCGTCATACCTAAGCCCTACATGTCTTTTAGATATATGGAATGGAATGTAGTTTTTACTTGATAGTTCTATAGTTCTACAGTTCATGCCACTTTAATTTTTCATTTTAATTTTTTTAACGATTGTATAATTTCAAAAATTTTGTTAGGCTTTTACTTTATTCATTAAAACTTTCACATTTTATTTTTTAATCTACAATATCTTGGCAATTTTTTTTTGGACAATTTGTTGTTGTGATTATATCTTTATTAGCTGTTTGTCGGGTTGTTTTACAACTTTTATACTCAATTCTGGGTGACTGTGCCCCTTAAACTGTTGTTTCAGCACGTTATGTATTGATAACCACTGTTGGAGCATTTAAATTATCCTTATAGTATATATTGATTAACACGGTAAGTCTATTTTTCCTGGATTAGGTTCCCCCCACCCCTTTTAAAAGCCACATTCCCGAATCTATGTAGAAAATTATCATTCGTTATAATAAACATATTTCTTTACAAAATTCTTAACTTTTCTTAGTTACCCTCTTACAGAGAAAATGCAGTTCTTTAGCTCCCCTCTCGTTTTCATATACTACTTTTCATCAATGTCCTATTTTTATTTAATCCTCTTTTTAAATTTTGTTTGTTCGCTGAAGAAGGCTTCCTGCCAACACGTTCGTTGTTTTGTTGCGTCCATCATTTTCGGGTTTTCCCATACTCTGTTTGACTCCTTTACTTTAAAAATTCCCCCGGGACTTTTGGTGTGCATGTTTTAAAATTGATTCCAGTCGTTTAATTTCTGCTAGGTATTCAATGAAAAAAAAATCTTTCGATGCATAACTATTGTGTTAGATAATCTTTAGTATTTGTGATTCAACTTGCCAGTAAACTAGTAATTATTATAAACTCATTGAAACAATTTCAAATTCTGAAGAATAAACAACTTAACTTATTTCAGTCGCTTGAATTTAGTTCTAAATGTCTGAGTTTTCTAGTATTGTTGTTTTTGGTATCAGAAAACTTCAGTTTATATTTTTATGCTTGCATGACCTTTTTTACCGCCATTGTTCAACTATTCTCTGGTTTAACAATTTGTTTAAATAAATTTATCCATGAAGATTTTGACCTACCAAATACTTGACAAACTCAACCTCCAAATACTTAACACAGAGACCCACTAAAATTTGACACATTGAGGCACTCAATGCTTGACACATTGACCCATCGAATACTTGACACACTGACCCACTGAATACTTGACACATTGACCCATTAAATACTTGACACATTGACACAACTAATACTTCATACAATGACCCACCGAATACTTGACACAATGACCAATCGACCCACGAATACTTCACATTGACCCACTGAATACTTGACAGATCAATCCACCGAATACTTGACATATTCATCCACCGAATACTTGACATATCGAAACCTCGAATACTTGACATATCGAAACATCGAATACTTGACATATCGAAACACCGAATATTTGACATATTGAAACATCGAATATTTGGCACAATGAAAAAACAAAGCAAAAGTTGATAATAGAATTACAAAACTTCAAAATCGAACACAAATATTTAACTTATCATCTTTTATTTTGTTGAAATACTTTCTATCTAATGTTTCTTAAAGCCTCGTTCACAATGACAAAGATCGACGAAATAAGTTGAACTTAACAATTTAAATATCAATGTGTATACATTCAACGGCATACATAATTTAGAATTACGACACAATCAATTCATCACATCCAAGACCATTTGCTCCTGAAGCAGACTTAACGCCATCTGGACAACACCCGTACCTGGTTCCCTTGCATCCACCAACTAGGGTGGCTGGCCTACATCCAAGGCCGTTTGCTCCTGAAGCAGACGTAACGCCATCTGGACAACACCCGTACCTGGTTCCCTTGCATCCGCCAACTAGGGTTGCTGGCCTACATCCAAGGCCGTTTGCTCCTGAAGCGGACGTAACGCCATCGGGACAGCACCCGTACCTGGTGCCCGCACATCCACCGACAAATCCTATTTTAACGCAGTTTTCTTTGTTAGGTCCCCCAGCAGACGTCTTGCCATCCTCACAACAGCCAAACTGAGTCCCCTTGCAACCACCAAGTATGACTGGGTAAAAAATAGGAGTCAATGCTTAAATCAAATATATAGCTTGACAGATTCGAATTTTGGGTCAAGTAAAAGGAACATGTATAAAATGTTTGACCTCGACCCCAGCAGAAGAGGTTAGCATGTTACCCTCAATTAGGAGATGTCAGCAGATACCATAACCCTAACCCTGACCCTCTTTGCCTAAAGCCTAGAAATGTCTTCAAACATTGTCTATAAAACAAAGAAGGTGCTGCTCTATGACTATACCACTGGGTTTTTTTTTTTAAAATTATAATTTTTACGGAACATTGTATTTTCTTTAAAAAAAAATAAATTTTAAAAATTAATAAACAATTCCAAATCGTATATAATGTATAGAAAATCTCACCTGCTCCAAAAGTTCCTCCACATGCTACAACCAAGAGAGCGGTTAGTAGAAGAGCTTTGCAGGCAAACATTCTTGTTCCGTCTGAAATTTATTTTTTAAAAAATGACCACGAGAACCAAGTCTTGCTTTCTGGTCAATGTTTAAGGGAATAGTCAAAATTAAAAGGATCCGAATGCACATAATAAATTGCAATGAGTAACATTGTGGAAGGTTTAGGGGGTAAGTGAGTATAAATTATGCATTAGAAGTTAGGGGGTGTGAGTCACGCTGAGGTGGTCAATGACATTACGAGGTTTCCACACCATGTAATATCCCGCCAAAGTAATGAGCATCTCCTTATTGTCGGTCTTATCAATACAAACCAACAAAGATAAATGCAATTTTTAAAAAATTGTTTAATATTGGTTGTCAATTATGGCGTCTTCAAATCATACATTATCACATGGGCTTGAACACATATTATTGATAAAACGGTGTTAGATTCTTCACTAATTAAATACTAGATGGCCTGCTATGAAGCTGTTTTAGTTAAGTTAAGCTGAAATAGGCTGGGCCTCAAATGTCAAAGCTAACTAGCTAAAACACATATTCTGGGGTGGGTCTGAGATTACTCTAGTATGACCCCGGCTATTAAATTGGCTATCGACTCCATCTGTTGAGCTGAGGCAAACATCATTTTCCTCACAAAGGGTCCTCCAACCGCCCTGGCTTCCCCCGGGAGATCTAGTGAGGGATCCGGCAGGTAGGATCCCTGTTGTTATCCAGCCGCCAGAAATATGTGCGAAAGGGGCAGTGCTCGGTGCGCATCTGCGTCACTTAATTCCGCTGTCTGTTGTCAAAGCTAACTAAACGTTTTCATCTCTCGTGTTTAAAAAAAAAGACAACACCTTTTTAAAAAAAAATTCAGTTCGGTTCTGAAACGGACTGGTAGTGTCAAGCCCTAAAATATCTACGTAGAATGATTTCAGCCCAGGAAACTCCGGCTACACTAGCTAGTTTGTTACTAAAATTTGACTCAGTTTTCAACCGTTCTTGTTGACTTATGATACACCATATTTTTTTTCCTATTAACACTTACGATATCGGCGTTGTGATGGAAAAGAAGGCTGCCTTCAAATTTCTTGAGCAAGTCTTGAGGTTACCGCCTACGGTGTGTGTTCAATGAAGTTGACTGCAAAGCCTTATATAGGTTTGGTTTTTGTTGACGCTATCAACCCAGGGCGTGTCTGATTAGTTAATGGACTAATTTGAATCTGGATGTGCCACGTTGGCTACTCACCAAATGGTTTTCGGTTCATTTATTGCCTTTTGGTAATTATCCAAAGATTATGTTAAGACCAATGTTTTACTTAAAGTCCAGCTGTTAAAATGAATTTTGAAGCTGGAATCGATTCTTTTCATTTCGCTTTCGATTCTAATCTCTCAAAACCATTTCTTTAAATAATATATATTTAAATTAAAGCGTCGATACCTAATGTTTTATTTATCATTTCTCGATTCATTTTTAACCGCAATAGTAAATTAAATAAACTATTCATATATATCTAGACCGATTTCTTCATATAGATCTAGACCGATTTCTTCATATAGATCTAGACTGATTTCTTCATATAGATCTAGACCGTTTTCTTCATATAGATCTAGACTGATTTCTTCATATAGATCTAGACCGATTTCTTCATATAGATCTAGACCGATTTCTTCATATAGATCTAGACTGATTTCTTCATATAGATCTAGACCGATTTCTTCATATAGATCTAGACCGATTTCTTCATATAGATCTAGACCGATTTCTTCATATAGATCTAGACCGATTTCTCACACCACATATTTTTTTTCGGCGTAATGATATTTGTTTACACGATCTCTCCAACACCCCCGACTACTGGCAGTGCACAATCGAAGAAACGTCTCGAACGGTATCCTGTGTTTAAACACGTCTTTTGTCTCCCGTTAAAATGTCATTGGATTATAGGCTGATGCGGGTGTTTAATTCCTACGCCGTATTGACCAAGCGTTTAGCCTTTCGGGACTTGGCATTTGATAGAGACATTGTTCATTATTCCTGATGTCCCTCGACATTAAATAAGCTGTGAAGGTCATATAAAATAAGATGTTATTGTAAATTAAGTCGTTATTGTTTAATTAAGTTGTTATTGTAAAAAAAAAAATTTTTTGTAAAGAAAAAAAAGATGTTATTGTAAAAAAATGTTTTCATGTAAAATAATTTGTTATTGTAATAAATAATATTTAATAGACACATGGTATTAACTATACGATTGACATATGGTATTAATTATATGATAGACATGTGATATTAACTATGGGATAGACATATGATATTAACTATATGATAGACGTGATATTAATTATATGATAGACATATTATATTGACTATATGATTTTGTTTAGGAATTCTTTTGAAAGTTAAATTGCAATGGTCAGACAAGGGATTTTGGGGGTAAAAAAAAGCAGGAATAGGGCAAAAATATCATCTCGGAATTGAAATTGTACACGGAATAAGAGCACATTGAATAATGGGTCTGTGGGTCTGTGTCTGTGGATGTGTGTGTCTGTGGGGTATGTGGGTCTGGGGGGTATGTGGGTCTGTGGGGAGTTCAAGAGGACTGTAAAGAACTTTACTTTTTTTTAAATAAACACCTACGTTTATAAAAGTGTTTTTTGAAATCAAACATTTTCTCTGTCCATCTCAGTTTACGTGTCTCCAGTGAAGTGGCGCACATAGGATTAGAGCCACCCGGGGGGGGGGTAGTCCAAGGCTTTGCCGCCCTTTATTATAAAAAAATGCCCCCCCCCTTCCCAGGGCGATGGGAATAACCAGATATGTCCATTGCTACCGTAGCACTATGTCAATTAGCGTTTTAAAATAATTCACATACGGCTGAGCGTTTCCCTAATTATAAAAAAAATATAAGGAGAGGAAGCTTTCAAAAGTAATTCCCTTAGCAATAGCTTCAGTTCAATTTACATAGCCCCAAATAATGATGCTATTAAATCAAGATCTGTAAGTAATCAATCTGGTGGGGTCAAGGTTGTTTACAAAACGATTCCCGCCCCCATAATTGGTTTTTAATAGACAGCATCAAAGAATCGTTGATAGAATTTATAATTTCTCACACCTACCATGAGGTCCTTGGAAAATTGGAAAACTCTTTGTCTCAAATATACCATTATTTGTCTCCTTACTTGAGGTGGGCTGTTACACCGTTGAATCCTATGTGTTCAAGTTCACAGTTTGGCAGCATTCGATAGGAACTCTGATTTTTAAAGGGAGATAAAGAAATATTACTCAATTAAGTGTTTTATTGTAACATGAATTACGTCCCTTAATTATTTTATTTTACAAATAACAAAAAAAGTTTGGATAACACCGTTCCCTGGTTTAAAAATTTACATGTTCCTTACAGTTTATAAAAAAAACAATGGTAGCCGTAGTGTTTAAAAAAACAAACAACTTTCTTCTTAAAGCATCAAACAATAAAACAAATTGACAAAATTCGTACACTATTTTTTTTTTACTTATTTCTATATAAAGAAAGTTGACCAAAAAATCAGACAAATGTTATGAAACAAATATTGTTTCAGTTTATTGCGTCTGAAAAAAAAAATCATTTATGTTTACAGTTTAGGTAAATTATGACGTCATTTGGCTAGTGTCTGAATGTTGCAGTTGGAAAAAAAAAAAGAAGGAGTTTTCTCTTTAATGTGCGATTCAATGATTAAATCTTGCTCGTTAGCCCCTTTGAACACTATAGAATAATTTTTTTTTTTAAAACTTTCCTTTTTTTTCCCCCTTACAGTTTCAAATTTGTGTTTCAACAAAACAAAATATCAATATATTTGTGTCCTTTGCATTTTAAATTCTCAATGAATTCCTTCGACTCCCCACTTCTATAATGTAAATATCAGCAGGGCATCTTACTTTATTATGTAAATAATATTTCATCTTCTTATATATTTTAAATTATAAAGGTTCCACCCCCCACCCCAGAAATATATCCCCAATTCCATTTACACTACATCAGCGGTTCCAAACCTGTGGTTCGCGACCACATCGAATGACCTTTACACGCGGGTCGCCTAAGACCATGGGGGAAACACCTCTCTATGAAGTAGCAACGAAAATAATTTTGTGGTTGTGGGGTCACCACAACACGAGGGACTGTATTAAAGGGTCGCGGCATCACGAAGGTTGAGAACCATTTCACTACATTAGAGTGCTGGTACAGTTGCACCATCTCCTCTCAAAACGACCGTCTATCACAACCAATCAACGCATTACTAATCCAGGGTATGTAAAACTAGGCTTTAAAAAAGCTCTCTCTCCATAAATGTTACCCTCTAATGGCTTTGTGCTAATTTATTATTTTTAAATTGGCTTTTGCTATCCTTTACATTGTGTGTGGGGGGGGGGAGAGAGAGCCATGAGTTTCAGTACAGTGATATCGCATCGGGGACGTTATTTTACAAAAATTCTATTGGCGATAACCCGCTAGTTGCTGTAGTTAACGATACTGACACCAATATATTTAAACCCCGATGAAATATGGTCCCGCAATGAAAAAAATATCCAGAACACCCCCGCGTTTCCAATGGAGCCGTTGGTATTAAGCACCCCCCCCTCCGACGGATAGGGCCTCCAATCAATACGATGTTACGAGATCCCCACCACAAACCGTGGCTCCTGGCAACACCCTTGGCCTGGAGCCAAGATTTCTGCCCTAATGGCGTTGTTTTATTCAAGCTGCAAGCGGCTCTGGGAACTGACCAAGTTTTACACTCGCATTTTCTAGTATTTTAAGTCCAAATCTATATCAGCAATAAAATTCAATTTTTCTTAAAGTTAAACCGCAGTTTCCGGCGCCAACTTAGAAATTGGATAATTAGATTAAAAATTGATTTTTTTTTTCTTCAAATTAAACAATAAGTTAAGAAATGGTTGAGATGTTCTCACAGACCCCGATTTTTTATTGATCTATAAAGTCTTTAAGGAATAACTGTTGTGTTCTATTCTATTCATATATTTAGATTTAGATCTAGATTGAATGAGTGTGGGACGGTAAGACTGTATACTATTTTCGGTATACTCATCCGAATTTGTTGCTTTAACTTTTACCCGTGCATATCTGTGCCTAAAATCACATCTATTACACAGGGCAGGTCAGAGTCTACAATGACCTTAACACAGGGCAGGTCAGAGTCTACAATGACCTTAAATACACAGGGAAAGGTCTGTGTCTACAAACGCTTTTATTACACTGTCAGGTCAGGGCCTACAATGGCCTTTATTACGGAGGTTAGGTTAGGGCCTACTATCGCCTTCATTACACAGTGCAGGTCAGTGGAAACAATCGTCTTCATTACTCAGGTCTTGTCAGTGCCCACAATAACCTTAATTACATATCAAAGGTCAGTGTCTACAATCGCCTTCATTACACGGGGCAGGTCAGCGCCTGCAATCAGCTTCATTTAACAGGTCAGGTCATGGCCTATAATACCCTTGATTACACAGGAAAGGTCAATGTCTACAATTGCCTTATTTACACAGGGCAAATCAGAGCCTGCAATTGCCTTCATTAAACAGGGCAGGGCAGTGCCGTAAATTGCCTTCATTACACGGGGAAAATCAGTGCCTACTACCTCCTTTATTAAACATGACAAGGCAGTGCCTATAATCGCCTTCATTACACAGTTAAAGATTAGTGCCTGCAATCGCCCTCATTACAAAGGGAACGTAAGTGCCTACAGTTTCCTTCATTAAACAGGGCACATCAGTACCTATAATAACCTTCCTCACACAGGGCACATATGTGCATACAATCGCTTTCATTACAAGGGGCATGCCAGCGTTTACCATTGCCTTGATTACACAGGGAAGGTCAGTGTCTACAATCGCCTTCACTTCACCGGGCTTGACAAAAGCTACAGTTGTCTTCATTACACGGGGCGTGTATTTTTAAACATTTCCATATAGATATTTTGATAGTTTGGAATAGCCAAAAGTTAAATCAAATATTAAATATATTTTTAAAAATAATTAAGAACGCAAAAATTGAGCTTTGATTCTTCGAAAGTCGATCAATGAAGTGTCGGTTAATTAAACTGCTCCTATTTTCATACATTAATTTTGTACTCAGCATGGCCACAATAAGCAGCAAGAAAAATTGTTTCCACTTACATCAATTAATCACAAGAACACGTTTTTCCCCGTACTTGAATTCGTTACAAGAATTACTGTTTTTTAGTACTTCAATTAGTCACATAAAAAACTGTTTAATAGTACTTCAATTAATCACAAGATCAACTG